GGGAAGTTCTGGTTGTGGGAGGGTAAGTTCTCTGTCATGTTGTACAGGGAAATTCTGGTTGTGGGTAAGTAACTTATCTGTCATATTGTACAGGGAAGTTCTGGTTGTGGGTGAGTAACTTATCTGTCATATTGTACAGGGAAGTTCTAGTTGTGGGAGGGTAACTTATTTGTCATATTGTACAGGGAAATTCTGGTTGTTTGAAAGTAACTTATCTGTCATATTGTACAGGGAAGTTCTGGTTGTGGGTGAGTAACTTATCTGTCATATTGTACAGGGAAGTTCTAGTTGTGGGAGAGTAATTTATCTGTCATATTGTATAGGGAAGTTCTGGTTGTGGGAGAGTAACTTATCTGTCATATTGTACAGGGAAGTTCTGGTTGTGGAAAAGTAACTTATCCGTCATATTGTACAGGGAAGTTCTAGTTGTGGGAGGGTAAGTTATCTGTCATATTGTACAGGGAAGTTCTGGTTGTGGGAAAGTAACTTATCTGTCATATTGTACAGGTAAGTTCTGGTTGTGGGAGGGTAAGTTATCTGTCATATTGTACAGGGAAGTTCTGGTTGTACAAGGGTAAGTTATCTGTCATATTGTACAGGGATGTTCTGGTTGTAGGAGGGTAATTTATCTGTCATATTGTACAGGGAAGTTCTGGTTGTAGGAGAGTAATCTTTTCTATTACATAGGTAAGTTACATAACTGGGAGTGTAAACCATTTCTAAGCTGTATAGGTAGGTTTTAGTTGTGAGAAAGCTAGCCTTAGTCAGATTGTATTTTTCATATGTTTTATTTTGTAATATTACCAAACCCAAGATCTGTTAGAATGGTGAGACTTCACAAGTTTCTCTAGTTCAAAACTGTTTTATTACTCAGGCCAGTCTATTTTCCTGTTGCTCACACTGATAAATCCACATAAAATAACGTTTTTAAAAAATTAAGGCAAAGTTCTTCAATGTATTATTTACAGCATTAGCTTATAGCAGTAGATCCATGAAAAAAAAATAAAAAGGTAAAATGGAAGTGTTTACTAATAACACTGTTTCTGAATTGTTTTAATTGTAATTTTCTACTCAATACAAAAGCAACAAAAAAAGGTTGTAAAAGTTACATTTCTTGAAAGTGTTAATGGTAGACTAAAGAACCAATACAGAACATCTGTTCACTAGTATAGATATTTGACAGTTTAAAGAGATACACAAATTTTTAGCACATACCCTTTTTAAAAACCAGTCTGTTTTATCAGAAACCAACATCTCTAACATAAGTATTTGTATGGTTGATTCATGTTTTAAAACTCATTCTGATCCATTCAGTGACATTAAAATAATGGAGTGAAAAAAATAGTATTATCTATTCATAACAGAGAATTTATTTTCTATGTTTTTTTCTAATGAATCGAAATAATTTGATAGAATAAAAAAAAAGGAACCATTACTTACAACTGATAACATGTCTATACACAAAGTTGATCATTCATTAAACAATAGGGTGATTAAAAAAAGTCCCTATTTTCCCAACTGTTGAGAAGCAGATGTGGAATATGGTGGCCATATGTTAGCTGACACAATTTCATGATAAGAAGGTCAAACCAAGGTCATCTAAATACTACCTCTGATACGCATAAATCTTCATAAGTTACCTTGCATTAAAGCTAAATGCTTTTAATTTAGAGAATTATGCAAATTTATAAAAAAAACACACAAGGAAAACAGTTTTTTTCTGGGGTAATATTATAACTTTTGTACCAATGCATTTTTACGTCAGATTGATAGTTTCAGGGATAACATTTGATTGACCTTTATATCATGACATCATGCCAGGTAACCAATGTCTTCTATTACGCTTTAACATCTTATGTCAGCAGATTTTCAATATTCCACACCCGCTTCGCAACACCAGGGAAAAAATCAGGACTCACCTTGTCTTACTGAAGGTTTCTTTTATGCGAAAATAAACCATTCAGTGAAATATAAAAAAATACCAAATTAAACCTTCTACAAAAGCAAACTATTAACAATAAAAATATTTTCTTTTGACGATGCTAAGTCTTACCTGTGACTGTTTCCAGTTATTAAATAATGATTTATCGCTGTAATTGTTCCAACATCCCAAGATTTCTATCAGTAAAATATATATATATACATATATATATATATTCGTTTGACTAATGTAGCTCCTTTAATAAATGGATTAAGTTACTTTGTTATTCGTTTCTACAACCCAATTGGTTTATTTAAATTATTAACTGTCTGGGTACTTTGTTTTAATAAAAAAGTTGAGAAAGTTCTCAGTAATAAGTACATCACAATAACTGATCTAATTATGAAGATATACTTTTCTGATTCATTAATTCTAACGTTTTTGTTAACTGATTTGGTTATTCAGTCTTATCACTGTGAAAAACTGATTTGGTTATTTAGCTTATTCAGTTCTTTAAATAAACTAATCTGATTACTTGTTGTACAATTACCTAAACACATTTTCAACCTAGCTCTCAAAATCATTAAAACTGCTCATAGGGAAACCAAATTACATATAATTACCAGATTTTAAAAACAAAACAAAACAAAGTCAGAATCAACATATAAAAAGATTGAAAGATACTGATTAACAACCTAATTTCAATTTGAATACACTTATGCAAACATTCATCATTCATCAGAATGTCACAAAACACGGTTACACTAAAAATGACCGTATTTGGAACAATTTACCAAAAACTATGTCAATCATTTGTGATGCAAAATTTACTGGCATTACAATCCCACCCTTTTCTGGCAGTGCATTTTTTAAATTTTATTAATTGTATTATTATTATTATTATTGTTGTATTAAATACTTTCATCATTATATCTTTATTTCAAGTGGTTTTGATAGTTGGTCTTAATAGCCAGTGAACTAAATAAACAAAGCATGTCATATGCCCTCACTCATAATGAACAGGAGTTTTCCTGCAGTTAATGCAGAAATATTAGTGTTAAACAAAAAACAATTAATTATACCGAGAACTGGGAATTGTTTTAGGAGCAGTTAATGAGTGTTTAACTCTAATATTTCAAAAACAATTAATTATACTGAGAACTGGGGATTGTTTTAGGAGCAGTTAATGCGTGTTTAATACTAATATTTCAAAAACAATTAATTATACTGAGAACTGGGAATTGTTTTAGGAGCAGTTAATGCGTGTTTAATACTAATATTTCAAAAACAATTAATTATACTGAGAACTGGGAATTGTTTTAGGAGCAGTTAATGC